GGGCTGTCTGATACCAATACTGTGAAATGTATTGAAACTTTCCATTTGGCAAGAAAATGACCACTTTTTGTAATTTTCCATGAATGATTAAAAAGAATGGATGGTTTTTAATTCTTGGGTGCAAGGAGCTATTTTTATCTGTTAAATTAAGCTTGTTTTAAAAAGCTCTGCACAGGGTGAAGGAAACAATCAACAAAACTAAAAGGCAGCCTATTTAAAAAATGTTTTTTTAATGTTTTTATTTATAAGAGAGACAGAGACAGCATGAGCAGGGGAGGTTCAGAGAAAGAAAGAGACACAGAATCTGAAGACAGGCTCCAGGCTCTGAGCTGTCAGGCACAGAGCCCAACGCAGGGCTCGAACCTACCAACCGTGAGGTCATGACATGAGCCAAAGTCAGATGCTTAACTGACTGATCCACCCAGCCACCCCAAAAGGCAGCCTATTGAATGGGAGAAGATATTTGCATATGATGTATCTGATAAAGGGTTAACATCCAAAACCTATAAAGAACTTGTCAAACTCAACAACCGAAAAAACAAATAATCCAGTGAAGAAATGGGCAGAAGACATGAACAGACATTTCCAAAAGAAGATATCCAGATGTAGAGCATCCAGTGGCAAAAAGACAGCCTCTTTAACAGATGGTGCTGGAAGAACTGGACAGCAACATACAGAAGAATATAACTAGATCGTTTTCTCACATCATACACAAAAATAAACTCAAAATGGATAAACGACCTGAACGTGAGACAGGAAACCATCAAAACCCCAGAAGAGAAAGCAGGGAAAAAAACTCCTTGACCTCCACCGCAGCAATTTCTTACTCGACACATCCCCAAAGGCAAGGGAATCAAGAGCAAAAATGAACTACTGGGACCTCATCAAGATAAAAAGCTTCTGCATGACAAAGGAAACAATCCATAAAACTAATAGGCAACTGATGGAATGGGAAAAGATAGTTGGGAATGACATACCAGATAAAGGGATAGTATCCAAAATCTATAAGGAACTCATCAAACTCCACACCCGAAAAACAAATAATCCAGTGAAGAAATAGGAAGAAGACACGAACAGACACTTCTCCAAAAAGGACATCCAGATGGCCAATAGACACATGAAACGATGGTCAGTGTCCCTCATCATCAGGGAAATACAAATCAAAACCACACTGAGATACCACCTCACGCCAGTCAGAGTGGCTAAAATGAGCAAATCAGAGAACTCTAGATGCTGGCGAGGATGTGGAGAAACGGACACCTTCCTACACTGCTGGTGGGAATGTAAGCTAGTGCAACCCCTCTGGAAAACAGTATGGAGGTTCCTCAAAAAATTAAAGGAACTCCCATATGACCTAGCAATAGCACTGCTAGGAATTTACCCAAGGGATACAGAAGTGCTGATGCATAGGGGCACATGTACCCCAATATTGATAGCAGCACTCTCAACAATAGCCAAAACACGGAAAGAGCCTAAGCGTCCATCAACTGATGAATGGATCAAGAATATTTGGTATATTTATACAATGGAATACTACATGGCAATGAGATATGGCCATTTGTAGCAACATGGATGGAACTAGAGGGTGATATGCTGAGCGACATAAGTCAGGTAGAGAAGGACAAATATCATATGTTTGCACATATAGGTGGATTAAGAGGAAGTTAATGGAGGACAAAGCGGGAGAAGAAGGGGAAAATAGTTGGGGAGAGGGAGGGAGGCAAACCATGAGAGACTCTAGAATGCTGAGAACAAACTGAGGGCTGATGGGGTGGGGGGAGGGGAAGGGGGAGACGGGCATGGAGGAGAGCACTTGTGGGGATGAGCACTGGGGTTATATGGAAACCAACTTGACAATAAACTATTTAAGAAAAAAAAAAGAAGATATCCAGATGGGTAACAGACATATGAAAAGATGCTCAACATCACTCATCATCAGGGAAATACAAATCAAAACCACAATGAGATACCACCTTACACATGTCAGAATGGCTAGAATTAACAACTCAGGAAGCAACAAATGTTGGCAAGGATGTGGAAAAAGGAGAACCCTTTTTCACTGTTGGTGGGAATGCAAATTGGTTCAGCCACACTGGAAAAAGAGTATGGAGGTTCCTCAAAAATTTAAAAATAAAACTACCCAATGACTGAGCAATTGCATTACTAGGTATATATCTAAAGGATACAAAAATGATGATTTGAAGGGGCACATGCATTTTGATTACAGCAGCATTATCAACAATAGTCAAAAATATGGAAAGAGCAAAAATGTCCATTTAGTGATGAATGGATCAAGAAGTTGTGATAATACATACATACACATATATATAATGTAATATATATATGTATAATCTAATATTACTCAGCCCTGAAAAAGAATGAAATCTTGTCATTTGCAGTGAAGTAGATGGAGCTGAAGTGTATTATGCTAAGCAAAATAAGTTAGTCAGAGAAAGACAAATACCATATGATTTCACTCATGTGGAATTTAAGAAACAAAATAGATGAACATTAGGGGAAAGAAAAAAGAGGGAGGCAAACCATAAAAGAGACTTAAGTATAGAGAAAAAACTCAGGGTTGGTGGAGGGGAGGTGGATGTGGGGAAGGGTTAAATGAGTGATGTGTATTAAGGAGGGCATTTGTTGTGATGAGCACTGGATTTTGTATATAAATGATGAATCACTAAATTCTACTTCTGAAACGAATATTACAACATATGTTAACTAGAATTTAAGTTAAACTAGAAGTATAAAAAATCAGGCTTGTTAATTGAGTTCTCAAATCTTTTATATCTTTACTAATTGCTTTGGTTGCTTGGTCAATAAATAGTTGTGTGTTGATATCTCACACTTTGATGGTACATTCGCCAATTTCTCTTCCTTCTATTAATTTTTGCTCTATGACTTTCTCTGACTTATCATATTTCATTAGTGCATACACATTTAGAATTGGGATATATTGATGGTGAATTGAAATTTATACCAATTTACGGTAATCTTTTTATCTACAGTAATTTTTGTTTTAAAGTCTATTTTGACTAATATTAATTGGCAATCTCTTTAAGTTAGTGAATTTAGCCCATATTAATTTATTGTGCTTAATGGTATATTTTAAGTTGTTTCTACTATCTTATTTTGTGTTATTTGTCTTGCCTTTCTGCTTTTCTATTTTCTATATTTCTCCCCACAACTTCCTTTTTTTGTTATTGTCTTTTTTATTTTTGGACTAGTTGAAAAAAGTTTTTTTTAGTTTTCTCATACCTTTTTTCTCTTCTACTAAGTAAGAAGTAAGAAGTTATGTTCTTTATTTTTGTTCTACAGTGGCTATCTCACCATTCTGCTCCAAGTTATAATACACGTTTGTTGTTTTAGACTTTGGATACTCTTTTTACCTTTTAGAGAAATCAATAATCATTGAAAAGTACTTTATTGTAATTTATTTAGAAATGTATATTATAACAAGTAATTTTGTGACAAAATTAGAAATAATTTATCTTGTATTTTAGAGAAGAGGTACTTTGGATAGCTGGTCTGCACTACAGTGGGAATTAGAAGTCTAAAATATTAGCACATATTAGCTTAGATTTCCTATGTATTGAAGCTGATTTCTTTTTTCTTGTTAAAACACAGATCTGATCATTACCTCTTTTTTTGCTTACTCCCTCTCTCTCCTCTTCTCTGCCTTCTTTAAGTACTTAACATATAATTTTTTTTATAAACATAATAATGTTCTAGGCTCTGGGAACAAGATCTAGTCTCTAGAAATGCTGAAGAGGCATCCAGGTATGAAAAATGAACTAGTTCTACTTTTTCTGGAAGGCATTTTGATGCAAGTCTATTATGTTGCTGATTTGATAAGTACCATTATCAGACTGAGGCTTCTAATGATGTTAGATTACATACTCACTTTTAGGCATTATTTAACATGGTTGGTGCCTTACTCACTTTTCTATGTAAATTAGTCATTTCTATTAAACTAAGTATATGCTTAATCCACATTCTAAAGGGAATTATTTGTAGATTTGGTTATAAACTTTCTAGGAATAGATATTCTGTATGTGTGTGTGTGTGTGTGTGTGTGTGTGTGTTGTGTGTGTGTGCATGCGTGTGTACTTGTGTGATGTTTTCCTAGTCAGTGAGCTTTCTAACTTTAAATTTCTAACATCAGTTCTGGTTAAAAGTTCAAAAAATGTTGTTTTAATCCCTCACACATATTCTGCTCACTCTAGGTAGCATGTAATTTCATGAAGTATCTTCACTCGTATAATTGCTTTCTTTCCCAAGGCTGCTGTGAGTAGCTCTTCAAAGTCATGCTGGGACCTGCCCTTTTCCATTAAGGAAGTTGCCTTATAATATGCTCAATGTCATTTCATTGGAGCAGAAAGTTAGGGGATTCTGCCTTATGTCAGGTTTGTACCTACCAAAAGGAAATCTCACTATTAAATAACCTAGTTGCCATTCCTGATGTCTTTTACTCCTGTGATACTTGCATATCTAATTGTCAAGTTTAATTTATGATACTTGTTACTCTGTAAGTGTTTAATTGAGTTAGTGGTTATAGCTGACTCATAAACCCATAAAACCCTTCAGTGGTAAACTAATTAGCTACTGCACCTGCCCTCCAAATAATTAACATTGTTCATTACTAACAATCAGCATTGGAGTTATTAAAAGTTATCTTATCACTCAGTTGTCTAAAGCAGAGGCTTTCAAACTTTTTTGATCATGATCCAGAGCAAGAAATGCATTTTCCAGGTAAACCCAGGATGTGCACACATGCGCACACACACACACACCCCTACTCGGTATGACAGACTGATATTTTCTATTTTATTCTCTGCTTTAGTTTCTTTCAGTTGGAAACATACTGATCTACTAAATGGATTGTGACTATTAATGGATTGTGACTTACAGTTTCAAAAATACTAGCTTAAGAAAACATGTACACTGAAACAGAAAGTTAAGAAAAATCCTTAAGTTTCCTTCAAATTAAAACTTACTTGTTTCCCTCACCATCATACACCCATTTAGTAGTTCCAATTCCTTCATAGTCTGAGGCCCAGTAATAAATACAGGCATTAATGTGCAGAGTAAATAGCAAGTATCCAGTTGTTCGAATGACTCTGGCAAGGAGAATAAATGCAAAGTAAGGGCTTGTGTTGTTTCTGGAATACAGCCTATTTTAACATTTTCTTTTTCTTAAAGTCTCCACTGAATCTCCTTGCTTTAAATTTGTGAACTGTTAACTCTCATTGGTACAGTACAAAATGATAGTGCCATTGCATATTTTCTAACTCCAATGTCTTCACTGGGACTGAAAGAATGTAAAAAAAAAAAAAAAAGAAAAAAAAAACCCTTCCTCTCTTTTCACAGATGGTATGAATCAACTCCCTGAAAGACATGCCTTGAGGGTCACCTCTCCACTTTGAGTCCCATAAAATATGCCACACTGATTTAACTGGATACCTCTGAAAAGCTCATGGGACTTTACACTACGATTAATGGTGACTAGAAGTCTATGTGCAAGTGAAGTTCAGGACAGCAAATGAATGAAATTCAGATTAAAATGACTTGTCACATTGTGTTGCCTGGGTGGCTCAGTGGGTTAAGTGTCCAACTTCTACTCAGGTCATGATCTGAAAGTTCATGGGTTCGAGACCCACATCGGGCTCTGTGATGACAGCTTAGAGCCTGGAGCCGGCTTCAGATTCTGTTTCTCTCTCTTTCTCTGCTTCTCCCCTGCTCACACTCTGTCTCTCTCTCTCTCAAAAATAAATAAACATTTAGAAAAGATGGACCGTCATGAGGAAGATGCAAAGTCAATTTGTGAAGGAACATATTTATCTGTCCTTGTTCTGACTGAAGCAGGTAATATGTTCTATTTTCAGGCCTGTATTCTAATAAAATCTAATATGATTTTCATGCTTTTATTTCACTTCAAAATATTCAAATCTGTTTTAGAACATAACCTTATATTTTATATAGCCAAAATTCTACATTATTCTGTTTCTTTCACAGGGATATTGTATTGTTTCCAAATGCTGGCTAAACTGCTGTGCTATTGCTTTCTCTGCCACCCCTGGAAGTATACTGAGTCATACTTTACCTGTAGACATATGCTTTGTCCATTATAGACTCTAGGTGATGATTAAATTCGAAAAATGAAGTGTACTACATAGGAAATGAACAAAAGAAATCACAAAGTATGTTAGTCTTAAATACATCTATTTAAATCAAATTATGTAAAATACATTTAATTTGTTACTGAAAATAATTCCATTCATATGTCTTCAAAACAGGCAAACAAACAAACCAGGGTCTGTTTACTTGTATTTTCCTCTGGCCTATACACTTTAGAATGGTGCAAATTCCCAGGGCGTATTGCTTTATTTTATTTCTACTCTCTAGTTACAGTCTTGTTTGTAATGCTTGTTGAAAATCAAGCTTAAAAACATTTATTTCCCTTTTCTTTTTAAAGCATCTAGTAGAACTCTATTTTACAATAATTAAAATCACACTCTTCCTAAGACACAAGGAAAATAAGAAAAGTATAATATAATGTAATATAATATAACGTAGTGTAATATAATACACTGAGGTCATAAATAGGTATTAAGTCCTGTTGCTTACCACTAGCATTATTTTTAAGCAAGTTACATTAAGTGGGTATCTATTTCAACAAAATTTAAAGTCCAGTAATAGTAGCATTGGTTAGCTATTCTTGACATTGTTCAAAGAGATACATTGAGTATATATGCATGTAATCTAGAGTTGCTATTTCCCTCAAGGTCTTTTCCTGTTTACATCTACTTCTGTCTCAACTCATACACCCTATATGCACTCCTACCTCCACTTCCTCTTTCATTACTATATGAAGTATAAGGCAAGAGGAAGAGCATGAAATCCAGAGCCAAACTCGAATCTCACCTCTGCCATTTACTGATTGTGTGACCTTAGAAAAGTCACTAAATATTTCTGTATCTTGGTTTCCTCATCTGTAAAATGGGAACAGTAAGACAACATACCTCCTGAAGGGGTTGCATCCATACAAAGTCAGTGTATTTAATTATTTAATATGCTTAGACTCACAGAATCTTACAGATAGAAGGGACTATTGGAGACTACTTAGTTCATAGTTTATTTAGTTCAAAATTGATCCAATGTAAATATGACTGTGAAATATTACAAAACAGATATAATAGGAATCACTGTTTACCTAAAAATATACAGAAATGACTTGTTTTTCCAGATTTCCTAAGTAAGAAAAATCCCTTCAACATTCAGTTGAGATAATTTCAGTTTGTGGTAACTTGTTTATTGTGCTCTTAATAGAAATTTGCACAAAAGTGTTTTTTCTTTTAATTTTAATTTTTACATTTTAAATTTATTTTTGAGAAACAGACTGAGACAGAGCATGAACTGGGGAGGGGCAGAGAGAGAAGGAGACACAGAATCTGAAACAGACTCCAGGCTCTGAGCAAGCATTCAGCACAGAGCCTGATGTGGGGCTAGAACCTACAAACCGTGAGATCATGACCCGAGCCAAAGCTGGATGCTCAACTGACTGAACCACTCAGGACCCCCTGCACAAAGGTATTTTTAAGTTTAGCTGAAGTGTTCACTGTAGAAAAAATTTATATTTTTATTTGTATTCTCATATATAATATGGAGACTGAGAAATGAAATTTTTTCTAAGGAACTATGAATTAAAATGACACACTTATATATGTGAAATGACTAGACTCTTGGGCTATGAAAACAAAATCAATGTTGACTTTCAGGATATTCTATATTTAAAAAGGCTATTGAATATAGAGAGTCTTTGAACACCTCAGAGAATCAGAGATGAGGTGTAAAGACTTGGCATTTTATAAACTTTTATTATAATGCCTGACAATCTCCCAAATCCATAGGAACCTGAGTCTTCCTGGAAAGTTGGTTATCTCTGAGCAGGAACCTCTGGCCACTTTCATGTGTGAATAGAAATTTGATGAAGGATGACCTGCCTGCTAAGCTGCTTGGAAAGTTAAGTTTTGCTCCAATGTAGACCCACATTCCGTGGCCAAACCAGAAGTCTCTAGAGTTGTCTTAAATGTGTGAAAATCTAAGGGAAAGTCCCTTTCAACTTGAACAAAATTATGGATGGGTGCCTGGGTGGCTCAGTTGACTAAGCATCCGAATTTGGCTCAGGTCATGATTTCAGTTTGTGAATTCAAGCCCCTCATCAGGTTCTGTGCTGACAGCTCAGAGCCTGGAGCCTCCTTCATATTCTGTGTCTCCCTCTCTCTCTGCCCATTCCACACACACTCTCTCTCTCCCAAAAATAAATAAACATTAAAAAAATAAAAAAATAAAAAAATTATGGGCATGGAAGGAAAGCCCTTTCAGCTTGAGGTTTATTTGCCAATTTGATTACAGTAAAGAATTTGGAGTCAGAAAAATATGTGATAGAATCCCCATTGTTATACCCTGCTAATCCTCATCTCTAAAATGAAATTATTTGAAGGAATAAATGGTGTCATGAATATTAAGTTTCACAAAGTATGCAGCCCCACGCATGTATTCAACAAAGAGCAGCTGCTGCTTTTTATTTTTTTTCCCTGCTATTGCTGCTCTCGTCAGGCTCCACCATGTCCCCAGATTATGCTGAATTGTCTTCCCAAGATGTGAGAGAGATAACCACCTAAAATTTATAAAATCTTTGATGTTTCTTTTATAAAGGTTGTTTTTTGGAATACATTATTGTAGCTATTTTTAAAGATTTACATTAAATTTCACATCCTGACTCTTCTCAGATTTGTTTTAGGTGCCTGATGAAGCAGTGAGTTATAAAATGTTTATATCTGAGAATCTTTTTGAATACGTAATGCATTTCCATAGTTTAAAAACAATATAAAATATATGACTTTCAAAGTCTTTTTCCCACTTCTGCCCTTATTCATTCTAATTTTCTCTCCTGCCTCCTATCCCCACTGCAATTAACTATTTTTATTAAATTCTTTTGGTAGTTTTTCACTCTTTACATAAATACAAAGAAATGGAATATTTTCCTCTTTCTGTCAAACAAAAGTTAGTATTGCTCTATAAACTATTCTGTAATTAACTTTTTAAAAAAAATCCTTAAGGTCTTCCTGTATAAATTCATACAAAACTTCCTTTTTATTTATTTCTTATGTTACAAAGTATTCTATTATATAGGTGTCCTGTAAATTATTTAACTTGTTCCATGTTGGTGGATATTTGAGTTATATTCAAATATGCAAACAATCCTGTTATGTGAAAAGTGTTTGCAATATTTTTTTCTAGAATTATAGACGAGTAACATAACTTAAAGGCAAGCTAATCTATCATTTTACTGTTCTGTTTTTCTAGCATTCCGTGACCATCTAATGAAAAAAGATAAATGGGAAAGAATATAATTATGAAAGATTCATTTGTAATAGTTGTATGTAGAAGTACAAAAGCATTCCTATATTATAAATATACCTCTTGTGAGTTATAAAATAAAATAATCAATAGCAACTTTCATCAGTAGAACAATGATGTTTTTCCTTCATTCAGTTTTAAAATCCATAGCATTGATAAGGGCAGAAAAATGGACAGGTTGGAAAAAATTAAAATTATATTTTTAGGACATTTTAAATCATTTCAAGATTTCTATTATTATTAAAAGAAATTAAATACAGTTATCTTACCTTTAATATCCTATTTGCCCTAAATATTGGATTAAATCCAAAGAAGAGGTAGAAAACATCAAATGGCATTACTGATACAAAATCCAGCTGTTGGGGAAACATATTCACAATATGTGTGTTTATGTGCTTTTTTGGACAGGAATTGGTTTATATCAATGTTTATAACAGCTGACTTATTATACCATTTCATATACCATGAATTATTTGCTGTTTAATACAAAATTGCCTTCAGTTAAGTATGCCTGGTGCCACTGAAAGGTGTATTAATAACACGAAAATAAGAACACTATTTTGTAGTCTATTTCCAAGATATTTCATTTCCACTTTAATGCATCTGAGCTCTCCTTAGGCTCTGAACTTTCTATAATTTCCGTTGAGTTGTCACATATACTTCAGAGATGGCATGATTGCTAATGTTAAAATACATTTTAATAGTGTTTTAAACATGGGGCTCTTGGACTGAAAGGCAAGTCAATTCTTGATTGTATTCGAAACCATTGCACATTAAATGCAGTTGTATATTTTTATGTTTCAGCCAATACTCCAGTATTCAGGACTGATTATATTGTTGATGGTATATATATTGAGGCTTCCAGATACCTCAATTCTTTCTACTACTCTCTCTTTGGGATGATATTACTAACAATAAACTGCTATGCAATCTATCTCTTAGACACTGTGCAGGCTGAGATAGAGGAAAGGAATCAGTCCCATTTATAATTAATCAGTAACTCCAATAGAAGTTGAAAGTATTGAAAGTATTATAATAGCTAAAAAATATATTTTAAAATTTGTCATGTATTTAATTATTCTGGTCTTCTATTACCCTGGCAGTTGCAAAATGGCAACATCACTTGCACACTTTCCTGATTGCAATGATAACAATAAGAAATTCTTTTAGTAAGATAATTATTCGTTTTCATTAATTTTTACATAGTTTTGAAAAATAGAGTACATTTAAAAAACATTTAATTTATTTAAAACATTTAAGAACAGTTAAGGGCTTTCTGTAAGGCATATAAAATAGAAAGTTGAGGTAATTAATTGCATACCAGACTTTCACAATAACTTAGTGTTACTGAAGAGAAATGAAATTTTTAGTTAGAATTAATCAGACTGGCTATTATAAACAAATTTCTTATAGAAAATATATTGCATCATATCCTCAAACCTTATTAATTTTGCCCTACAGATATTGAGGCTTGTAACAAGTTGAGAGGAATATAGAACAGTTATTAAAATAATGTCATATAAGTAAAAAAGCAGAAGCATGGAATTGTTGACTAGTCTAGTTCTATTGCAGCACCCACGTTTTCTGGCTCAAATTATAATAATCTTTTTTACATTTAAAAAATAAATTTATTAGAACTAATATGTCAGAATTATGGTCTTTTTACCTGCTGTCTATCCAATTGTTCAACTGCCCACTTTGATTCTCTATGCGGCCATTAGTTGTGTTTGATATTAATATGTTAGTGTTAAATAAAAATGATTTATTTCTCATTGAATTGTAGAAAATTGTATTGAGTAAGAATTGACCAATATTGAACTCTCTACATGGCACTTTGCAAATCATGTGGGGGTTGAAATAGGAGTAAAATATTGTTTCTATCCACAAGAAACTAACAATCTAATAGTAGAATAATGAATCACAAAAATAACCAAACAGGATGTGCTAAGGGAATTCAAAAGGAGTGACCACAATTGAATAAATGTAAAATTTTACATTTAAAAACCCAAATTGAATATATGAGTTAACTTTCTCTTATTCAAATTCAAGAAAGTGATTAAGAGTTCGGTATAAGTTTTGTGGCACTTAAAAAGAATATTCATCCTCTTGCGGTGTTCATCAAAGCAGTACAGATTATGAGTATGTCTAAATATGTGGCAATATTTTACAAAGAAAATTAGAGATAAAAACAAATTGAAAGTGATTTTAATCACCATATGTCACCAATGGGAACAATATGGCACCTAAACCTAAATTTGTATTCTTATACAAAATTTGAGGCTACAAAAGTGTTCTTGAAATGGGAGGGTGGATTTAACTTGTACAAATTGGTAACCTTGGATATCTCCCAAATTTCTATTTCTCAAAGGTAGGAGGGAAAATAAAAGATAATAAAGTACCTGGGTGTAAATAATTATGAGTGAAAAAACATACAATTATATTGTTATTTGAAGAAAGAAGGGTACCATGTTATATAAGTAACTGCTTCTATTCTATTTTGTTTATATGAACAACAAAGAAATAGGAGTAGAACAATCTGATAGACTTTACATGGTGCTGTATGAATTGGAGGCTAGCATTCTGTATAAATAAGACAAAGTACAGTATAACCTTGGTTTGTGAGCATAATTCATCCTGGAAAGATGTTTGTAATCCAAAGCACTTGTATATCAAAGTGAATTTCAAGAACCATTGGCTCAGTTGTGATCATGTGATGTTTGGTGTCATGTACTACTCATATTGCAAGATATTGCTAGTTTATTAAATAAAAATTAGAAATGTTTGCTCATCTTACAGAACACTCACAGAACAAGTTACTTGCAATCCATGGTTTTACTGTACACTCCATACTTCTTTACTGATGTTTTATTGGAAATTTAAATGTAAGCACCAACATTTTGTTGTGCTTGATAAAGATCCATATATTGAATTGCACATTTAAGGAAGTATACCATGTAATTATTGAGAAGCAAAAACTTCAGGCTTGACTTTGCTTAATAGAATTTCATCTGTATAAACTTTGTTACAAAAGCTACAGTTCAAAAAGGAAACAGATTTTTAAAATAGAAGTTTGTAGATGGGACTTAAAATCAAAATGGTAATGGATTACTTGCACAATTTTAAAATTGTAAGTCACCTACCTGAAATTTTGTAGAACTCCTGTAGTGTCTCTTTAACTCATTTGAATCCACCTGAAATGTTATATTTTGTATTAATTTTACCCAATTTCATCAATTATTTTTCTCACTATGATAAATATATATAGCTACTTCTCTCTCCTAGTTCCTTGTAACTTCAGCCCATAAATATGCTCTATCCTCTCATCTCTTAAAACAGAATAAAAATCTTCCTTGGTGTTCATTTTCTTTTTGCTAGTGGTCTATTGTTTGCCATACTCAAGCTTCTTAAAAAAGTTGCCTACATTGTTTTATTTTGCATCCTTCCCTCACATTTACTCCTCAATCCATGGCAATTTGGTGACAAGTTGACTTGCTCTCATTTTTCTCATTCCATTAAGACAACCAATATGAAAGCTACCAACAATGTCCTAATGATCACACCAAGGGAATCCTTTATTGTACTTAGTATTCTTTTATGGCATTCACCATGTTTTGAAATCACATATATTTCTTGGCTCATTTATTTAAAAATCATTGTACTCCATTAAATGGTAATCTATCTCAGGACAGGGTTGACTTTGTTTAGCAACTGTACACAGTTAGTGACTAGAATACACTAGGAATCCAATAAATACTTACTGAGTGGATAAATAAACAGGTGACTAAAACATTTGATATTTGTCCTTGAAACTTTTTCTTTCCAAAGAATCTGTAATGCCATTTTTCATTTACTTCTTCAGTTCTAACTTTTTGGTGACTTTTTTTTTTTTTTTTTAATAATTCCAGGGCTAGCCATTTAAATGGCAACATTCTCCAGGACTTAGCTCTCTTGCCTTCCTCCTTATACTTGCTTCCTAGAAAATTTCAACCACTTCAATGGTTTCAAATATCACCATATATACTGATGCTACCAAATATCTACCGACATTTAATAACACTTTCTGGAGCTGTTGACCTATACCAGCAACTGCCTATTGTCTTCTTCACTTAGCAATTCTGCTTATCTCAAATTTAATCTACATCAGATCTGAATTCATCATGATTTTCCATTCCCCTCAAGCCTAATCATTCTCCTACTCATTTCTCTTGAGTATCCTATGAGCATCCTCATCTATATTGGTCAGTGATCCTAGACCACCCATTCTCCCTCAGCCCTCATCCGACAAGCCACCAATTCTATGATTCTTCTTCCTACACTTTTCTGATGTCCACTCTCCTCTTTTGACATGGGTCTTTTAGCCGTGTAAGCCTCATTCCCTTTGATCCATTCTATAATAGCAGCTAGATGATCTCAGTAAATCAGATTACTTAACAATCACCATTTACGTGAAATCCTCTGACTCTACATGACTTAAAAAAAATCCAAACTCCTTTTCATCATAGTCCACAAGGCTCTATTTTCTTTGTCTCACTCACCTCCTGCAGCATCCCACATCCACTTTATTCAGCAGTTCCTCAGATGCATCAGAGTTTCTCACTTTCATGACTTTGCCTATGCTATTCTCAGATCTTGGAACTTAGCTTTTTTCCTTTTTTTTTTTTTGGGGGGGGGATGGAGGTGTACAGATAATGGGAATTCATTCATCATGATTTGAACCAGGTGTCCTCTCCTTCACATGGTTTTCTCTGTACCTCATAACCCCTAGGGCTCACTGCTGTCATGACTCATATTGCAAAACCTCACCATTTTTCTTTTGTCTGTCCTTCATAGGGTGAGTTACTTAAGAGGGCCCATATCTTTGTCTTCTTTTTCAGTTTCTAATGCAATATCTAGCACATAGTAGGTGCCCATTAAATATGTGATAAGTGATAGATTAAGAAGCATTTGTCACTATTCAGACCTAGAAGAATTAATGCTAACACTGTATTTACACTCCTATATTTTAGGTATAGGTTGGGAGGTATCATCTATGTACTACTAATGATCTGACCAAAGTATTATCATTTGTACACAAGGAAGAAGCGTCTTCTAACAATTATCATTCAGACTGTCCAAGCTCAGAAGTTTCAAACTCCTGCCAAACAATGTGAAATACTGGTTAGCCAACTCACCAATTCCTACTCCCCTCACCATTTTTTTGGCTCTAATTTTTACCCATGTGCATATACTATATCTTACAGAAATATATCAGAGAAAATACAAGACATGTGTATCTATTGATTTTACTGTGAAACACAATGATTTATTTAGCCACGGGTAGACACACAGAAGTTTAAGTCGGATCAGGTACTGAGCTTGAGTAAAATCAGTCAGCTCTTTCAAAGCTCATCTGGGACTGACAGATACATTTCAAGTGCTATGAAGTTAAAATACCACCCTTTCCTCCAACCTTGGAAGAATGTGTTTAGCACTTTTATCCCTTTACTTTTAGGCTTGTCTATGATCTTATGGTTGAATACATGTAAATGAAACTAAAATTTGTTACAGTAGATGAAAATGTCATCTAGTGATTCTAAAATCTCTCTTCTTTGGAGCACTAAATAAATTTGGTATCATTAGTTTTATGAGGATCCAGATGCTTACTGGTAACAATTAGGGATGTATTTAAAAAATGTTCCCCTGTTTAATTCTCTTTCCCTCCTTTAAGCCTATGTAGGCAACATTTTTTTTCAGGGGAGGCTTACTTTATGGAGGATATGCTGACCGCACCTAAATCCTCTTCCAACAGATAGTTTTTGAAGCTCTATCTAGGTATGATTATATTTACTTCTTATGATAAATAATTCATAGAAACTCCATAATTTCATATAGAACAGATAAAGGTGTTTCAAAAAATAATAATATCATCTGAAACAACTATAATGCAGATTAAATAATTATTCAAGGAAAGAAGATTCTTGAACCAAGATTGCCCTTCATTCACTCCTTCAAACATTTCTTAAATATACTCTCTGAGTTCCTAAAATAGAGAGGTAAATGAATTAATTATCATTCTTATTCTCAAGAAACTTATTATCAGGTAGGAAAGAGAGTTACATATACAAATAGGAGACAATAAGGTATAAGTGTGTGGATATTCATTCATTTGATTCATTCGACTACTTATTGTACATCTTTTAGATTCCAGAGCCTGGCTTCAGTGTACACATTGTCTTAATGTTTGCCATAGGTTTAGAGGTGGGTACTATAATTCCCATTTTATGGACAAAAAGATAGTATTTAATGAAAAGGTAAATTTATTTTCTTCAAATAATGCTATTAATAAATTTCAGAGATGGAATTTGACCCTGGTCTATTTGTTTCTACTATCTCATAATTAACTCAATTGTTATTTAACAATTAAATAACAGAAGTATGAATAAAGTACAGAGCACAGAGAAGGGAGTGGTTAATTTTCTTTAGGTCAGTTTATAAATAGTAACTGAGAAAGTTTAAGTGCCAAAAATGGTTGACAATAATGGCAGGCCTGATTGGCATTGTCACTAGATGGCACTGAGCGTTTCCATGAATTGTGATCAGTAGGGTTAGTAGTGTTGTGGGTATGAGAGTCTCCTATTTCTATAATCCTCATTGCAATTTCGGCTCTATTTCTACTGTCTACGAAGGAAAGTACAGACAAGGGACTCTTTTGTTGGTCTTTCATACAAAATTTTGTTCTCTATTTGAATAGCACTATTTCAGAAGAAAGATACTGCAAATAAACACCATGAAAAACTTGCAAACCCGTCCAATTTCCTATATTGTGGCCTTCAGCACTTCAATCACTTAGTTATCTATTTTCCAAGGCATTGGGAAACTAATATTTCCTTTCTCCAAGCCTGAAATATCTGGCAACTGTAAGTATTTAATAAACGTTTGTTAAATGAATGAATGAATGAATGAATGGATGAGTGAGTGAATGAATACTTTGCCTTTGTACACCAAAGGTAGCATAGATAGCTAAATGTAGTTAGATCTTCAGTTTGGGTTCTCAACTTGCATACTCTTCTTACCAAAATGTAATCAAGTTTCAAAGGCTAACACTACCTATCCTAAATTAAAGAAACCATTAAACTTCTTTTGAACAAACAAAGTAATTAGTTCCTGCTCTGTATTTGTAGTTTGTGATAATGTATTTTAAATAGAGCCCATTGAGTGTGTTTTTATTGGTTATTTTTCTTGTTTTTAACACTCCATTGTGTGTAAAGACCTCTTAGAAAATTGAAAATAAGTCTCCCCTTACTGATTTTGTCATTTTCCATTTGTCAAACATTGATTTTCTCCCCCCTTGTGCATCTAATGGAGGTTGAAATTAGCACTCTTTTTTTGTGTGTTGTTTACTTCTTATTTGTACACCATCATCATCATTCTTCAAGCTGCCAGGGAGCTCTGGGGATAGTGCTGGTGAGCTGACTAGTGCTCTGAAGTCCACACAAGGAATATTTTGAATAGGTTTTTGCTACAGTTTTAGCTCTTGCCTTTAGAATTTCTTTCTATGAAAGCTCTCAAATAGGAGGATTTCTTCAGCAAATAATTTTTTTTTTCTAAAATGAAACAACAATCACCAAAGTTACTCCTTTTAGCTTCTTGATAATTTAAGATTTTCTGGAGATTCAAAAGAAAATATTTGGGAGATGAAGGAACCCACCTCTATTTCTTAACAATATTTTTGAACCCAAGGTGCCATATCATGCATTGGTCTGCTGTTCCCACTGAGACGGATCCACTGGAGGACCTGTTTTGTCCCCAGAGATTGTGATGTGGACATCAGTTGGAAAGGAAGCATCCTTCTAGTTAGTTGAGGAAGGGGCTGAGGAGTAGAGGCTTTAAGATTTGGGTATGTGCTTGTGAAAGCATATTCTTCTACTTCTGACTTAGACTGACTAGATTGGTTATAAAATTCTTTCAATACTGAGGATAAATCTAGGAGAAGATAATTTCTCCTAAGGGTAAGAATGCTAGTTTCTGAGGTAAGCCACTGCATTTGATGATGGGAATTGGGATGTGATGAGTCTGAAAAATGGAAGAGTGAAAAGAATATAAGCCAGTAGATACCATATTAATTAAAAAAATCACAACACAACTGGTGTGTTTTATATGCTTGTGATTTGCACCTATCTGCAGGGTGTGTGGCTTCTTACTTATGGTTTGGCTATCTTGATGAAGAATTTGATGGCTTATTGTTATAGGACTATCTAATAGCACATTTTGCAATGGTGGAAATATTCTGTGCTCTCAGATATGGTAGCCTCTAGCCAAATGTGATTATTGGGCACTGAAAATATGGATAGAGTGGCTAGGAAATATGAATTTTTAATGTCATTTAATCTTAATTAATTGAAATTGAAATTTGAACAGACATATCTGGCTAGTGGCCACTATATTGGACACTGAAGTGAATCTACAATGATTTAAAGGGTCATGACAGATTTTCTTTTCTTCTTAAGTTAGGTTTTCCCAAAGTGTCAAGGCCTACGAACCTAGATTGTTTTTTGTATTATGTACAGGTGCTGTGTTCAGTGCTGACCATACAATGATAAACAGGATACAGTTTGTGTCCTAAAAATCTTATAGCCTAGTGCTTTCTAACAATATCAGGCTGTCTCCTGAGGAGGCTGAGTAGACTTTCATGCATGAAATCTTACCTGCCTTATTTAAAAAAAAAATACTGAGGTGAATGGTAGATTGCAGCATAGTAGAAAGCAACCACCTCATAGACTATTTGAAGCTTGATTACTAGAAAAATATATATTAAATCACTTATTTTTGCATTGATAACTTATACTTTTTTTTTTTTTTTTACATTATTTAAGTAAAGTATGTGTGTGTTTTTGACATTTCAGACCTGGTATTATCTTTCTATCCTCACATATTATCAAAGTCTGAAAAACTTGCCAACACGAACAAACATGGTGCAGTTGTATTGAACAAGGGTTTTGGAGTCAAGGTCTAGGTTCGAATCTTGCCTCAGCTACTTTCTAACTTTGTGCCTTGAGCAATCACCTACCCTCTCCAAATGCCAGTTTCCTCTCCTATATATGGGGTTGGTAATAATATATTTTTTATAGGGTGACTGAAAGGATTAAGTGAGGCATCGTGAATAAATGCACTCATGAGGCACCAAACATAGCTTGAGGCATTTTACATAAATCAGTTAATTTAATCTTTCCATTAGCATTGTGAAGGTACTATTTTTAAGATGAGGAAACTAAAGCACAAGGAGATGTATGGTCCCCAGAATACAGTGAGTGCTCAAGGGTTGTTTTGTTGTTGTTGATATTATTATACTGGTGGTTTTCAGTGGTTAAAGACTCATACAGGCAGAGATAGCCAGTCAGACATTAAATAAACAGTGGTGTTAATCTGTTTTTTTGTTGTCCAATCTGATATTCATTTGTCACCTTCTGCTTCTCCCCAGCCCCACTTACTATTATGTTTCCTCCTTTTATAAACTGGAGTCTGGGCTGGATTAATAACATATCACAAAGGTAGATGATATCACATATGACGTCTGTAATAAACCAGTAGTGTGTGTTGTCTGGTGTCTGATATGGAAAGACGAGGCGCAGTGGTATAAGCCAGCAGTTCCAGTTATAGGCAATGGTGACAAGCAAGAGCCAGAGGAGATAGAGTTGATCTAGAAAAATCCAAATGGCATGTAATAAGCATTAAAAAGATTCTCTTGTAATGGTAACATTGGAGCAATGTCCTCTGGAGATAAGAAAATTACTGTAAAAGGTTCTATTAACATTCAGTACAATTCTGCCTCTAGAGTGGAAAGCACTGGGCTTTACAAGGGATGTTGAGTGATCTTATCAGCTCTTCCAACATTGGAGAGAGGTCGTCTTTTTTGCCAAGAAGTGGCCATGCTGAGTCTGTCCCCACAGGTAACTGCTATATGGGATCAAGGAAGAGGACACCCAGGGGAAGTCAGAGATGCCTTGTTTGGATAACTGCAACAGTAGGCCTTTTCTGCATTAGGAGTTAAGCTGCAGGATCACCCAGGGCAGGTAGACGAAAGGCCATATTTTGCTTGAAGGAGTACGGTTGATGTGAAAGGGCAGAGAATTGGTCCATTAACACAGTACATGTCTTTTCACGCACTGCTTTCTTCTGCCCAAGGGAGGCCATAGGAAGGGGTTTGTTCAGTTAGAATAATTAGCAATGTGAAAGGATGAAAGAAGATAGATACTTTATAATTACTTTTTTAGGGAGTGGTGTGGGTGTACATACCCCTAAATACTTTGGAGCTTTCTTTTGAAAAGTAATTAGGGGCAGAATAGACCTTGGACTGTCTTTTATCTATCTATCTATTTATCTATCTATCTATCTATCTCTACTTACCTGCCTACCTACCTACTTATCATCTATTTATTTTGGTGACTATACTTTAGTCACCAAAATAAATAAAGTGAATTTACTTTAATTCACATTATTCTGGTATGCATTTTAAAAACCGGCAAGAATATCTTATCTCTTGCCTTCACCTGAGAGGGTCAAACAATCCACTGCATATTTAATATAGTTTATATTCTGCTTTCTAGACAGATTTAGAAAGTGGGCTTAAGGAAAAACGGAAGCCATTTGTGACTTTCAGTTACAGCAGTTCGTGGTAATAGCTAGCCCTCCCACTGAGATATTTCACCCTTTGATGGTACCTGTGTATGAATCTATGCTTCTTGGAAGTCTAATTCGCTTTAGATACTCTGTCAGAGGCATCTTCTGGAATTTAAAACACAATATGTGATAGTAATGTTCTTCTTTTGGCTTAGCATTGCTTTCTTGTATCAGTGGTACAGCTGTGGGCTTTGCTTTGTAAGGGAAAAAAGAGATAAACACATTTTTAAGAGGTTAGGTTAGTTAAATGAGAAAAAGTTTGGATGTCTTGAAGTCAGAACATTTCAAAATCTTCTCTTCTCAATACAGGTAGATAAAGTATGTTTTGACATTGAAAATAGTGACATTAATGACAATATTCAGGTAATGAAAACACTGGAATTTGGAAATAAACAGAAATTAAAGCTTACTAGTAAATTATCTCAAAGGTGTTACAAATGGGATATATTACTTTATTTATTTACTGTAATCTTCACACCCCCAATGTGGGACTTGAACTCACAACCTTGAGATCAAGAGTCACATGCTCTACTGACTGAGTCATCCAAGCACCCCACGAATAGGATATTTAAGGACAAGCTTAATTCTTACATATTTTGTAGCATAAATAAAGTCAGCCCTTAGATTTACATTGAAAAGACACATTAAAAATGTACATCATTCTACAGGTTTTAGTTTCATGTTTCTTTGATTTCATACTTATCTTTCAAGTTATGGATAAATAAAGCTCAAAATAATTTTTCACCATATCTTTAATCAAAATCCAATAACTTATTAGAGCCTTTTCTTTTAAAAAAGAAATTGCTATATAATATGTAGTTTATTTTTTATTTGTTGAAAAAGTTTGTTTATTTTGAGGGAGAGAGAGAACATGAATAAGCAGAGGAGGGGCAGAGAGAGAATCTCAAGCAGGCTCTGCATTCAGTGCAGAGCCCAATGTGGGGCTTGATCTCACAACCCTGAGATCATGATCTGAGCTGAAATCAAGAGTCAGATACTTAACTGACTGAGCCACCCAGGCGCCCTTGTAGTTTATTTTAAAAATCCAACTTACCTATACAGAATTATAAGGAAACCCTCAACTCTATATAATCAATAGTTGATTTTGTATTTAACTGTTATTCAACAACCAAACTTCAATTTGACTGTTTATATATATACATATATATATATGTGTGTGTGTGTATATATATTTACTAAGATGTATTAATAATATGTATCACTTTTGTGCTCTACTTTATTGTATTTGTTAATTTTTCATAAACACATGTCTGTAATTATTAGGGAAGGTGATGATTACCTCCCCCATGTGATTAGTTTATAGATGTTCTTTACTATGTATATTTTTATAATTAGTACTTTGTATATCAGTGGTATTCTTCATTAATATTTATAATAAACCTTGCTATCATGGGTATTGCTGTTGGCTTGTTCAATATACCATGGGTCTAGAGGTCATGTGCAGAGGGCCCCCCTATGTTTCTTTCCTCAGGATTTTCTCTGAGCTGGCTTACCTAAAGTACTGGAGAGTTAGCAACATGCCCCAGCAACAACCTTCAGCCAACGGAAAACAGGAGTTGATGGATTGACACCCAAGCTTCTTCCTCCAAAATATAAAAGAACTTATACAACTCAACACCAAAAAACCTCCCCAACAATCTGATTAGAAAATGGGCAGAGGACCTGTATAGACATTTTTCCCAAAGAAAGAATATATATGGCCAACAGAAACATGAAAAGATTAGGGGCGCCTGGGTGGCTCAGTTGGTTAAGTGTCCGACTTCAGCTCAGGTCATGATCTCACAGTTCGTGGGTTCGAGCCCCGCATCGGGCTCTATGCTGACAGCTAGCTCAGAGCCTGGAGCCTGCTTCAGATTCTGTGTCTCCGTCTCTCTCTGACCCTCCCCTGCTCATGCTCTCTCTATCTCTCTCTCAAAAATAAATTTAAAAACATTTTAAAAAAAGGAAAAGATGCTCAACATCACTCAGCATTAGGTCAATGCAAATCAAAACCACAATGAGATATCACCTCATGCCAGTCAGAATGACTAGTATCAAAAGGACAAGAAATAACAAGTGTTGGTGAGGATGTGGAGAAAAGGAAATCCTGTGCATTGTTGGTGGGGATATATATTGATGCAACCACTGGAAAATAGTGTGGAGGTTTCTCAGGAGAATTCTTAAGTGTGATCCACATAGTTTTTCAGGTGGTCAAGTCCCAGGGCCTGCAGAAGAAGCCATTTCATTAACACATCTTTATTGTCTTAACTCCTGTCTCTATCTCTCTTGTCTGCTCTCACCTTCCTGGGTCACCCTCAATATAAACTATTTCACTTAAATTGTTGTCACAGGGTCTGCTTTTGGGGGAGCCCAAACTAAGACATTTGAAAAAATACATGTTCCCTTATAACTTCTTTCTTTCCAGTACTTTGAGGTAACAGTGCTTACCAGTTTGGGGGCTGGCTTCAGGTGAGGATATATCTCCTTCTGCCAACTTTTTCTTGTAGAGGATTGTTCTTTGATGCATTCTTCTCACCAAGTTGCGTAGCTGGGCATCAGCATACTCATTTATAACAGGGGCTCCAAGTGGTTTGCTTTTTGGACTAAATGAGAAAAAAAATGGTGATAGAGATGGATCCATGAAGAGATACATACAGGGGAGAGATTAAGTTTTTTCACCTTCCTGATAGATCCTGGACAATTAACTGCTCCTTTCTGCAACTGAATAGAACAATTCAAAAACTAAGCTTGATGGAAACAGTGCTGGTGGAATACAGATTTACCAATGTAATATTAGAATCCACAAATAGCAAATGTCCATTCTTGACTGTATTAGATCTGGATGACTGTGATTCTGCCATTTAATTGTATCATTAGAAGAAAAACAAAAAGAAACTTTACCTGGCATTTTAGGTAGAATTCTATTTTTTTAAAGTGTATTTACTTAGAAATACAGTGAAAGTGAGATAGAGAAAGAGAGAGACAGAAAGAGAGAAAGAGAGTAAGTGGGAGAAGGGCAGAGACAGAGAGGGAGATAGAGGATCGGGCTGACAGCATGGAGCCTGAAGCAGGGCTTGATCTCACAAACTGTAAGATCATAATGTAGGCAGAATTTTAAGGTGGCCCCTGGTGTACCTGTCTTGCATAATTCTGAAGACAATAAATATGGTGCATTTTCCTCTCATAATTAGTGTGTGGTATACAGCTCAGTTGACTTAAAGGTAAGAAGTTTATAAAAATGGGCCTCATGTAATCAAATAAGCCATTTAAAAGCAGAGAGTTTCTATAACTGGTGATAGAGCAAAGTTAGAGGCTTGAAACATAAGGGTAATTCTACTTCAGAGAAACTCCCAATTTTTGGCTTTGAAGAAGAAAGGTGTCCCTTCATGAGAATTACATGAAGCCTCTAGGAGCTAAGACTGATCTCAGACTAGCTGATAAGAAAACAAGGACGTCAGTCCTACAACCACATGGAACTGAATTCTCCCAATAATTTCAATGAGCTTGGAAGTAGATTCTTCTCTCGTGCCTCCAGGTAAGAGTCTAGCTGTGCCTGGCTGACACCTTCATTTCAGTTTTATGAGACCTCAGCTTTGTGAGAGTACCTAGCCTCACACAGATTTTTGATCTTTGGAAGTGTGAGCTATTAAATGGTATTGCTTTAAGTTGCTAAATTTGTAATAATTTCTTATGCAGCAATAGAAAATGAAAATATCTAGTGTGTGTTAGTGTAGTTCCCTTTTAAGAAAACATACAAACAGATAAGTACAGGGTATAAGATATAAATTAGTATACTTCATAAAGATCTGAGTTCCTTCACAGATTTTCTTTAGACTTCTAATTCGTTCTCTACCTCCTTCTGAAGTTTGACACTCTGTGTCTACACACATTCATATAGGTTCTATCCACTCTCACCTCCTCACATCCATATCTGCCCTTTCCATCTCACTTCCAAACTGGAACCCATGGGGTTCACAAAAGAGCTGGGTAATCTGTGGATTTTATTAAAAAATTTTTTTATATCTTTCTTTATTTTTGAGGGGGTGGGGAATGTGAGTGGGGGAGGAGCAAAGAGAGAGGGAGATGCAGAATCTGAAGCAGGCTCTTGGCTCCCAGCTGGCAGCACAGAGCCCTCAGGGCCAGGCTCGAATTCACAAACTAAGAACCCTGAGATTATGACCTGAGATGAAGTTAGATGCTTAACCGACTGAGGCACTAACTGTGGGTTCTATTTAAAGAGAACCCTAGTATGAACCCCTCTCTACTAATCTCTATCCTCTACCAGGTACAGAAATATATCACATCTATAATGTTTATAGATTCCTAGACCATCGGTGGCTCTGTTTCTTTCTTAATATCATAGTATAATTTATGCCTCTTTTAAATGTCAAAAGTCCTGTCTCAACATCAAGATTCTTTAAGTGCATCACACTAAAAGCTTTATAAGCCTTCTCAAGAATGGTGAAGACTGAGGTTCAGTGGAAGAAGATCTGGTACATCTTAGACAATACAGAAATAGGGGGATATTAGGTCTACAAAACTAGAATTTTTTTCCGATTAAGAAATGTTTTATATATATATAATTTCACAGATTTCTTCTTCAAATCTTAGTGTGCCTAGGACTTTATTCATCCATCAGTTGTTGTGTTTCTACTTTACGTATTGGAATAAAAAGATGAATTAGACTCTAACCCTATTGATATTCACAGTTTAATGGGGGAAGCAAGGATACAAATGAGTACCTAATAAATAATAAAGATATATACAAAGTGCTATGCTCACACTGAACTTGGCCTGGGGAATCAAGGAGGGGCTTCATGGAGAAAGCATCTTAAGTCTGAAATGTTTAGAAGGCCTTTGACAGAGAAATGAAAGAAGGACCTTCCAGGCATTGAGAATAATATGTTCAGAAATGTGAAAAAACATAACACATCCAGCAAAAATTGTGGGGTGATTGGAACATAGTTGTACATGGAGGAGGCCAGGTGGCAGGGGCGGTAGGAGTGGTGGTAGTTGGGTCCAGAAAGGTGTATTGGGTCAGGTTATAGTGGTTCCTACATGATCTATTAGGAGTTTGGACATTAACCTGTAGGCTAATGGAAGCCAATGTAGAGTATTAAGCAAATGAGGGGTATGAGCAGATAAAAGTTTTAGAGACACAGTAATAGTGCAGAGTTGAAGAAGAACAGTATAAATACATGGATGCAAGGAAAGAAGTGAATGTGTTAGGTTAGAATTATAAAAGAAAAAGAGAAGGTGTAAAGAAATATTTTAGAGCCAGAAATGAAGGATTTGAACTTTCTTGATCTTCTGGATAAATCCAAATAAGGACTTAAGTATAACTTCTAAGTTTCTTTTACAAGAGTCTAGCTTCATGAAGATGACATTAATATAAATAGGAATTCAGAAAGATGTTTGTATATAGTGGGTGTGTAGAAAAATGAGTTTTTTTGATGTACACATATATTTAATTTAAGACGTTTGTGGAACCTTGTGTGATAGGACTTTGCCTGTGCTACCCAGGAGACATCTGAAATCCAGTTCTGGTGATAAGGCCTTGGTGGTCATCAGTGTATATGTAATGTGTGCAGAGATGCATGTATGTAGATGACATCACTATAGACTGAAGTTCTCAAGGTCAGAAACTGTGTTTTCTTTATACTCCACAAGACCTAGGACAAGGTAAGTTTTCAATAAATGCTTATTGAATAAAAAACCCCACTACTTCTAACCTTTTGTTTGACCTTATATGCTGCAGTGCACTAAAAAAAAAATCTATAAAAAGTGAAGTTGAGACTTGCTGGATCATTAACTATAAAGGCAGGTATTCAAACTGTCAAAATATCTAATCCAAACTTTAAGACCTAAGGAGAGTGTTTTTTTCTTTTTTCCTGAATCACTGATAAGCCCTAATTGACCATATAATTGCCACTTAATCACACTAGTTTTTATTGTGCAAATTTACCTCATGATTAAAATGCTCAAAATTATATTAGAAAGCATGCCAGCATTTCAATGCATATCTATATTTCAACTACAATGTAGTTTTCTTTTTGTATTAGCTGAGCATTATATGTCAATTTATTTCATCTTTTCTTTTTTTCCCAGTTATAGAGTAATCCTTGTTCATCTTCTCCCTTACTGACATATATGCAGAGGCTATGAATGTATTTTTCTTTAGGTAATTTTGTGACTGAATGAAAAAAGTCATGTATTTTCATGAGATAAACAAAAAATCAAATGAGGGTAGGAGAGAGAAGCAGTGGATATGCCTCAATTAACTATGCTTCATTTGAGTGATATTTGATATTTCTTGTTCATGTTACTAACCATATTTTTATTTTTATTTTTTATTTTTTTGAATTTTATTTTTTTTATTTTTTATTTTTTACAAATAGTTTATTGTCAAATTAGTTTCCACATAACACTCAGTGCTCATCCCCACAAGTGTCCTCCTCCATGCCCATCCCTCCTCCCCCTCACATCCATCAGTCCTCAGTTTTTGTCAGCATTCAAGAGTCTCTCATGGTTTGCCTCTCTCCCTTTCCCCCACCATTTCCTCCCTTCTTCTCCCCCTTGTTCCTCCATCAAGTTCCTCCTAATCCTCCTATACGTGCAAACATATGATATTTGTCCTTCTCTGCCTGACTTATTTCGCTCAGCATAACACCCTCAAGGTCCATCCATGTTGCTACACATGGCCAGATTTCATTGTTTCTCATTGCCATGTAGTATTCCATGGTATAGATAAACCACATCTTCTTGATCCATTCATCTGTTGATGGACACTTAGGCTCTTTCCATGTTTTAGCTATTGTGGAGAGTGCTGCTATGAACATTGGGGTACATGTGCTCCTATGCCTCAGCATTTCTGTATCCCTTGGGTAAATTCCTAGCAGTGCTATTGCTGGGTCATAGGGGAGTTCTATTGTTAGTTTCCTGAGGAACCTCCACACTGTTTTCCAGAGGGGCTGTACCAGTTTACATTCCCACCAACAGTGTAGGAGGGTGCCCGTTTCTCCACATCCTCGCCAGCATCTAGAGTTCTCTGATTTGCTCATTTTAGCCACTCTGACTGGCGTGAGGTGGTATCTCAGTGTGGTTTTGATTTGTATTTCCCTGATGAGGAGGGATGCTGAGCATCGTTTCATGTGTCTGTTGGCCATCTGGATGTCCTCTTTGGAGAAGTGTCTGTTCATGTCTTCTGCCCATTTCTTCACTGGGTTGTTTGTTTTTCGGGCGTGTAGTTTGGTGAGTTCCTTATAGATTCTGGATATTAACCCTTTATCTGATATGTCATTTGCAACTATCTTTTCCCATTCCGTTGGTTGCCTATTAATTTTCTGGGTTGTTTCCTTGGCTGTGCAGAAGCTTTTAATCTTGATGAGGTCCCAACAGTTTATTTTTGCTCTTGATTCCCTTGCTTTTGGGGATGTGTCAAGTAAGAAGTTGCTGCGGTGGAGGTCAAGGAGGTTGTTTCCTGCTTTCTCCTCTAGGGTGTTGATAGTTTCCTGTCTCACGTTCAGGTCCTTTATCCATTTTGAATTTATTTTTGTGCATGGTGTGAGAAAATGATCTAGTTTCATTCTTCTGCATACTAACC